TTCAGCCACCCTTCCTTCTGACCCTCACCCGATCTATGTTTCTCTGCTCGCTTATTTTTTTTCTCTTTCTTCTAAAATTTGTCTTTTTTGCAGAGATCTTCTGACTGGTGTCTTGTCTCATCCGCCATCTTGGCTCCTACCCCCTCCATTTTTGTTTACAAATGAATTTTAGAATTATTTTGTTAAGATACCTCCCTTACCAAATTCACTTGGTACTCTCTGCAATTAGACTAAACTCAGAAAAACTCTCTACAAAATTAAATGCTCCCATCCTGGAACACTGTATATTTGTACATAATGAAGCCTGTTTTCTATTACTTTGTAATGTCTTCACATTAGTTCTACATATTATTATACTTGCTAAGTAAATGCATAGAGAAATTATATCTTATGCCTCAGTAGTGAATAGGACATCTTTGGCAACATATTTTCTATGTGAATATAGCTAATATAAGAGAAGTTGATTTGTTTTCTAAGTGAACCATCTAATATAAATTCTTATTGGTCTTAATGACTTTTCAGTTGATTTTCCTGAGTTATTCAACTAGACAATAATAATCTATGAATAATATTAATAATATGCATGTGCTATGGTTTGAATGATAGAGTTTCTCTACAATTCATATTGAAACTTAATCCCCCTATGCAATTGTATTAAGAAGTGGAACATTTTGGAAAACGATCAAGTCACAATTGGGAATAGTGCCCTTATAAAAGGGCTCGGGGGAGTAAGTTTGTTCTTTTTGCACTCTCTGCCATGGGAGGAAAAAGGAGGTACCATCTATGAGAAACAGGCTTTTACCAGACAACGAATCTGCCTAGGTCTTGATCTTGGACTTCCCAGCCTCCAGAACTATGAGAAGCAAATTTCTGTTGTTTAGAAGTTACCCAGTCTAGCGTATTTTGTTATAGCAGCAGACTGACATACATGACTTATTACAATATTTATAATTTATTCTTTTTAACACTTATTCAATAGAACTTCTAAAGCATTGGTTAGAAGCATCTTCACCCAACTCCTGATGTTCCTATAAATAAATGTTTTTAGTGTTCCACTAATTAAATCTTTGGAGCCTGCTGAATTTCCTAAGATGTCCCTTACCATGTTATTGAAATATTATACTACTTATAATATAGTAAGTTTTATTTTTAAATCAAGAAGGCACGTTGTAGGTTATAAAATGCCTTTCTAGAATACATCAAGATACTTCATCTCCTTAATCTAGTTGTGTGATAAATTATCCTAACAGATTTTTTAGAATATCAAACCATCCTTGCATTTCTGGAATAAATCCCACATACTAGTGTGAAATTACTCTCTTAAAACATTCATAATTGCCAGGTTTATATTTTATTTATTTTATTTTTTATCTATAATTATAAGTGACATCATTATTATTATTATTATTTTTGGGTGCTAGTTTTATCAGATTTTGGTATCAAGATAAAGCTAGATGAAATGACGTTCTGGAGGTAAATGCTCCTATTAAGAACTAAGAGGGGGCCAGGCTTGGTGGCTCACGCCTGTAATCCTAGCACTCTGGGAGGCCGAGGCGGGAGGATCGCTTGAGCTCGGAAGTTCGAGACCAGCCTGAGCAAGAGTGGGACCCCGTCTCTACTAAAAATAGAAAAAAAAAAATTAGCAAGTCAACTAAAAATAGAAATAAAAAATTAGCCAAGCATGGTGGCTCACGCCTGTAGTCCCAGCTACTCGGGAGGCTTAGGCAGGAGGATCACTTGAGCCCAGGAGTTTGAGGTTGCTGTAAGCTAGGCTGACACCACGGCACTCACTGTAGTCCAGGCAACAAAAGCGAGACTCTATCTCAAAAAGAAAAAAAAAAACTAAGAGGAAAAGTAAAAAATGTAAAGAAAACATATATTTAAAAATACCAGAGTGCTGTGAAGCAATGAGGACTAAAAGGAATAAAATTTCAGAGAGGACGAAACATTTAAAAGGTGAGCTGAGGGTCTGCAGCTGTCCCTGGGACCATTTGCCAAACCTAGGCATGGACAACAGACTAAGAATCTTAAGACCAGGCAGATAATAACTACTAGGGATGAAAAAAAACATGGAATTTTTGCTGTTTCCAAGGGGCTAGAATGCCAAAATCACAGATTCGAGGACCAGTTTTCCCCTGAAGATATTTTCTGAATTCTAAAGCTACACAGCTGAGGAAAATAAGGGTTTAAGCCAAAACCCTTGAAAAACAAAGTGAGATTTCCAACAATTTCATAGTATTTTAAAGAAAAAGACTCACTAGTGGAGAGATGCATAAAAATGGTGGGAGATGTCTGATTTCATTTGGGCTGATGAAACAAAATACCATGGACTGGATAGCTTATAAACAATAGAAATCTATTTCTCACAGTTCTGGAAGCCAGGAATTTTAAGATCAAAGTGCCAACAGATTCAGCACCTGGTGAGAGCCCATTTCCTGGTTCATAAAAGGAGGCTTCTTGCTGCATCCTCACATGGTGAAAGGAACAAGGCAGCTCTCTGAAGTCTCTTTTATAAGGACATTAATCCCATTTGTGAGGGCTCTACCCTAATGATCTATCACCTTCCAAGGCCTTACCTCCTAATGTCATCACACTGGTTATTAGGTTCATCATATGAATTTTTGGAGGTACACAAACATTCAGAGCACAGGAGGAGCTGAAAGCCCTTGAGAGAGTGGTGAACTGACAGTGACAATCACCAACCACTTTTTTCCTATTGGCAATTGCTAATCTGGGTACCGCTAAGATTCCTTCTCAAGACATTTGCCAAATTCTAAAACTGAATAATGAAGGAGGCTAAATAGATAAGGTTTCTCTGAAAAGCAGAAATTTCTATAGTCCTCTTTGGTGCTGAAGAGACAGTGACATGCCAGACTCTTATCAAAATTCCTGAAGAACCACATCCTAGCAACAGGGACAAACCAAAAGTATACTACAACTGCAACCCAGTCTTAACCCAGATCAGTCCATGATTGGACTAAGGTGATCAGCCTCAAACCACAGCCACTTGTCCAATTCTGCCTACTTAGTAAAGGAAAGGGTAAACCTTTTCTGGTGGAAGATAATATCACTCGGAATCTCTACATATTTCAGACATAATGTCTAACATCAACCAAAAAACACTAGGAAGAGACAGGACCACATGACTGAAAACCAAGGGAAGAATCAGAAACAAAGCTAGGTAAAATATACATAAGAATAGATGGAGAGTTTCATCATACAATATCAGTTTATATAAAAAAATTAAAGGATATTCTAGAGCTAAATGAAATATATCTGAAATTCTAACTCATAAATTTCTTTTTTTATTTCTACCAAGGCTTTCATAATGTCTTTGTGTTAATTACCTTGAAGATAATAAAAAGATAAGCAAACACGAAACTGTGGACCTTTGTCAAAATAAACAAAATGCAACAATCTAAGAAAAATGATGGAAGAGGACTTTAAACATCATTAAGGGTCAATAAATACAGCCTGAGCTTTTATATACTGAAAAGCTTCTTGGCCAGTTACAACAGAAACTAACATCTTTCACCAAATTAGATTTTAAGGGAACTTTTTTCTATTATTTATGAAGGGCAAAGTAAGAACAACTGTCACTTACAGGAAGGTGTGTGAATACAGCAAAGGTGCTACGCAGAAAGGCAATGAGGTCTACCAGGTAATCACTGGCTTTGTTTCCCAAATCTCCTGTCATCCAGTCATAATCTGCCAGCTGTAGAAACTGGTCAATCTTCTGGTTTAAGTTGGTATAAATCTCTTCTTCAGCTGCATGTCTAGCATCCTGTGAAATAATATAAAAACAGGAAAAATCATTAGATTTCCAGTATTCACAAGGTAGAAATTTATATGAGCTTGGAGCTGTCTCATACTTATACCCATTAAGTAACATAATTGGGAATATGGAGTCATATCACAGTCTCCCTTAATTTTTCTTTTTTCAAAAGCACTCTAGCCTTTTCTATATTTTTGTCTACAAGAAAAGCTATTATTTAATATTTTGCTTCACTAAATAGGGACACTGCCTTCACTACCCTCAACGCTGCGCCCTTCTTTACTTTCTTATCTCTGTTCAAAACTAAACTTGCTCTCAGGAGTCTAATCGCTTCCATCTCTTCTGGGACACTAAGAAGCTTCCTTCTTACAATACCAACTTCTACATGTCCTCTAGTTCCTTCACAATGCTTATACGTATCCTGAAGTATAGATTGGTACACTGTGATGTTTCCTAATATGAGTTCTAAATAACAATAATCCTACATGATGCAAACAAACAAAAAAAAAAGCAAAGAGTTCCTAGTTCACATAAATTTGAGATACCCTGTATAAGAGATTCATGATGTACACTAGCATAGTAAAGGCTCTAAGAGGTATGGTGGGATTAATGTTCTTACAAAAATATTTTCAGGACAAATGAGTAGACATTACAATCATTGGCAATCATTATTTCAATACTAAAAATCCATCAACATGGACTGGTTTAGGGTAACGGACTACTTGCTATCACAGCCAGTATTCATTTTTCAGTCTGATGTTACTTAATCTCTATTTAATATTCTCTACTTAAAACTTTGTCTTTTCATGGGTTTCATAAAACGGTTTTCTCCTGACTTTCTTTTCACTTCTTTGGCTGCCATCTCACTTTCTTTGGGTGATTCAATCAATTCCTATAACTTCCAGTATCTCTGTCTTCAATATGGATCCACTCCAAACCCATTCTAACTAAAGAACCATATATGTGAGTGCATCATAGAACCCATATTTGACCCATAGAAAGTTTGAAATTAGTTGGTCTAGGTCTAGACTTACCATATTCCCCACTCTTCACCTATTCCATTCAGATCAAGGCAGAAATCTAAGCAACATATTGGATTCCACTCTTTCCTTAATAGTCATGAAATAAGTCCAGTAAATTCTAACACCAAAATTTCTCTCTAACCTGTCCCATCCTCTACATTTTCATTTTTTTAATGTCTGCATAATTTTGCAATATGTCAATGCACTATAATATAGTTAGTGACTGTTTACTTATATAAATAATGCTATTTAAAAATTCTAGTTGACAAAATTGTATATATTTATCATGTACAATCTGATGTTTTGAATTACGTACACATTGTATAATGGCTAAATTGAGTTAATTAACATATGCATTACCTCCCATACTTAATCACTTTTCTTGTGGTGGGAATACTTAAAAATCTACTCTCCTAGTGATTTTTAAGACTATAATACATTATTTTTAACTATAGATACTATGCTGTACAATAGATCTCTTGAACTAATTCCTCCCATCTAAATGAAATTTTCTATCCTTTGACCAAAAACTCCCCAACCTCTTCCCCCAGCTCCTGGTAACCACCATTCTACTCTGTTTCTATGAGTTCAACACTTTAAGATTCCACATACAAGTGAGGTAATGCATATTTGCCTTTCTATGCCTGCCTTATTTCACTAAATATAATATCCCCCAGTTTTATCCATGTTGTTGCAAATCACAAGATTCCCTTCATTTTTAAGCCTGCATAGTATTCATTTGTGCATGCATACCACATTTTCTTTATGCATTCACCTGTTGATGGACACTTACTTTGATCCTATATCTTGGCTATTGTGGATAATGCCGCAATGAACATAGGAGTGCAGACATCACTTTGACATAGTGATTTCATTTCCTCTGGGTATATACTGAGTAGTAGGATTGCTGAATTACATGGCAGTTCTATAATCATTTTTTGAAGAACCTCCATACTGTTTTTTCTGTGATGGCTGTACTAATTTACTTTCCCACCAACAGTGTACAAGGTTTCCCGTTTCTCTACATCCTCTCTAACATTTGTTATCTTTGTCTTTTCATAATAGCCATCCTAACAGGTATGAGATGAAATCTCATTATGGTTTTAATTTGCATTTTTCTGATGATTAGTGATGTTGAATATTTTTAAAGAACTTTTATAAATTTTTCATTTTAAAAGAATTTTTTTCTTTTTCTTTTTTACTGAGGAGATGTAGCAGTTGGTGTAAAATGCAGGTGCATTACCTTAAGCATTTTTTTCATATACATGTTGGCCATTTACATATCTTCTTTTGAGAAATGTCTATTTGGTTCCCTTGTCCACTTTTTAATTAAGTTGTTTGTTTTCTTGATACTGAGTTGTTTGTGTTTCTTATATATTTTGAATATAAACCTCTTATCAGATGTATGGTTTGCAAATATATTCTCCTATTTTACAGGTTGCCCCTTCACTCTGTTGATTGGTTACTTTGCTGTACAAAAACTTTTCAGTGTGATATAATCAATCCCATCTGTCTATATTTGCTTCTATGGCTTGTGCTTTTGGGGTCATATCCAAAAACATTATTGCCCTGGCCAGTGTCATGGAGTTTTTTCCCCAATATTTTTTTCTCATAGTTTTACAGTTTCAGGTCTTATGTTTGTCTTTAATCCATTTTGAATTGAGTTTTGTATATGTGTGGGATGAAGGACTAATTTCATTCTCGTGCCTGGGGATACCCAGCTTTCCCAACACCATTTATTAAAGAGACTATCCTTTCCCCTTTGGGTGTCCTTGACATCTTTGTCAAAAATTCATTGACAGTAAATTCATGGATTTATTTCTCTCTCTATTCTGTCCCATTGGTCTATGTGACTATCGTTATGCCAGTACCAAGCTTTTTTCATTACTATAGCTTTGTAGTAGATTTTAAAGTCAGGTAGTGTGAGTGATGCCTCCATCTTTGCTCTTTTTGTTCAAGATTGCTTTGGGTATTTGGGGTTTTTTGTGGTTCCATATGGATTTTAGGACTGTTTATTCTATTTCAGTGAAAATTGTCATTAGAATTTTGATAGGAATTGCATTTAATCTGTAGATCACTTTGAGTAGTATGAATATTTTAACAATACTGATTCTTCCAATCTATAAACCTATAATATCTTTTCATTTGTGTCTTCAATTTCTTTCATCAATGTTTTATAATTTTTAACAGGTCTTCCTCCTACTAAATAGTGTTTCAATGAGCACTTCTATACTTGTATCTTTACATTACTTGTATAATAATCTTAGAGTGTCCTTGAACTCCTGTGTTGCTAAAGTTTTTTTTCATTAAAGACTTTATTTTTTAGCATTTTAGGTTTAAAGAAAAATTAAGCAGAAAGTACACGACATTTGCATATACCACTTCCCTCCTCACACTCTCATGCTATTACCCCTGTTAAAACCTCCAGCATTAGTATGATACATTTTTTTAAAACTGATGAGCTAATAACAATCTTACATTAGGGTTTATTCTTTGTGCTACACAATTCCATGGGTATTGAAAAGCGTTAATGTCATATATTCACCATTACAATATCATACAGAATAGTTTTACTGCCCTAAAATTCTGCCACACTACACCTATCCATCCATCCATCCCTTCCCCAAATCCTGGTGACCACTGATCTTTTTATTGTCTCTGTTGTTTTGCCTTTTCCAGAATATCATATAGTTGGAAACACACAGTATGTAGCCTTTTCAGATTGGCTTCTTTCCCTTAGCAATGTACACTTATGGTTCTTCCATGTCTTTTCATGGCTTGATAGCTCATTTCTTTTTATCATTAAATAATATTCTACTTATGTATGTGTCACAATTTGTTGATACATTCACCTATTAAAGGACATTTTCGTTGCATCCAAGTTTTAGCAATCATAAATAAAACTGCTATAACATCTGTGTGCAGGTTTTGTATGGACATAAGTTTTCAACTCACTTGGGTAACACCAAGGAGTACAATTGCTGGATCACATGGTAAGACTATGTCCAGCTTTGTAAGAAACTGACAAACTGTCTTCCAAAATGGTTGTTCCATTTTGCATTCGCACCAGCAATGAAAGAGAGTTATTGCTGGGGCAGCAATTGGTATTACCAGTGTTTCATATTTCAGCCATTCTAAGAAGTGTGTAGTGGCATTTCATTGATGTTTTAGTTTGCAATTCCCTAATGACAAATGATGTGAAACATCTTTTCATATATATATTTGCCATCTGTATATCTGGTGTATATCTGACATATTTGGTGAGGGATCTGTTCAGAACTCTTGCCCATTTTTTAATCGATTTGTTTTCTTATTGTTGAGTTTTATGAGTACTTTGTATAAGTCCTTTATCAGATATATGTCTTGCAAATAATTTCCCCCAGTTTGTAGCTTGTCTTTTCATACTCTTAACAGTATCTTTCCTACAGCAAGTTTTCAATTTTAATGAAGCCCAAATTATCATTTTTTTCTTCACGGATCATGCTTTGAGTGTTGTACCTAAAAAGTCATCACCAAATCCAAGATCATCTACATTTTCTCATATGTTATCTTCTAGGTGTATTATAGTTTTGTGACTTACACTTAGGTTTCAGATTTTGAGTGAATTTTTGTGAAAGGGATAGAGTCTGTGTCTAGATTCTTTTTTTTTTTTTTACATGTGATATTCAGTTGTTCAAGGACCATTTGTTGAAAAGAATCTCCATTCTCCATTGAATTACCATTGCTTCTTATTGACAATCAGTTAACTATATTTGTGTGGGCCATTTCTGGGCCCTATATTCTGTTCCACTGACCTATTTGTCTACTCTTTCACCAACACCACACTGTCTTCATTACTGTAGCTTTATAGTAAGTCTTGAACACATTATCCATCCTCCAACTTATTCTTCTCTTTCAATACTGTGCTGGCTACTCCAGGTGTTTTCATTTTTCATTTAAACTATAGAATAGATTTGTCAATATCCACAAAATAACTTGCTAGGATTT